CTGGAAGTCTTCACAATCAAAGTACAGTCCGATAATTGCCATAGGACTGTGCCCGCTATTATATGGATGTTTGTGCAAAACAGTGGCTGCCAGTCATGGAGTGTGTCGTGTGGTCCAGGTGCTCTGCAGCACGCAGCCCTCCCCTCGGGAGCTCCCCACCAGCTCTGCTCAGTAGGTGTCGCAGGGAGGGGAGGACCTTGCCCAGGGTCATCCAGCAAGCAGTCGCAGGGGAGAGTCTGCCTTCCAGGCCCTTCCAAAGATCTGCCTTGCACTCCTCTGCATGTTCATGTCTCTCCAGGTGTGTGTGCATCTGTACACATCTGTGGATGAATGCATGCATGGACACATGTTCTATATGTGTGTAACTCCACACACGGAGGAACAAACCAGCCTGTTGTTGCCTGTCTTAGCTACCCTCTGAAGTCCCCAGTTCTCACATGATCTGGCATAGGTATGGAGTCCACATTTAACTGGTCCTTTCAAGTAATAGGGACAGCTCTAGGGAAGAATATGTTATGTACTTCTATCCAAATAGAGTTTTCACACACATATATTGAATTACCATTAAAAATCGGAAACTAGAAAGCCAGTAATGTTTAACTTGTGGAGTAGATCTTCTGCCTTAAAGCAGGGAGGTGTGTGCTGAGTTTCATGTCTGACTAATCAAAATGTTAGAGTCTAAACTTGGGGCTGTTTTGTCTCTCTCACTCCCACCTGCATCTGCCAGGTACAGACCTAGGCTCTGGGGATACAGTGGAAACAATATCCAGCCCTCGGAGCCCACAGTCTACTGAAGGGGAAACATCGGATCAACAAGTTCCACTAAAGTGCCTGAAAGCAGCAATAGAGATGCTGTGTTTTGGGAGGAGGGGGTGGGGAGGATGCCACCTGCAATAGCAGGGTCAGAGAAAGCCTCCCTGAGGAAGAGGTATTGAGTGAGACCTTGAGGGAAGAAGTAGCCATGCCGGGGAACAAGCCAGGGGAACCACCAAGTGCACGTCCTTGAGGTGGGAAAGGCAGCAGGGGGAGGGTGTGTCTCTGGATGAGGTCAGTGAGATGTCAGGTCATGGAGGGCTTTGTAGGCTGTGGAGATCTGTATTAATTATTTTACTTTAATTCAGAGAACAGCGGGAAGTGAAGGGCTTTAAACGGGGAGAGATGTATTGGGTTTGTGTATTTAAAGCTCTTCCTGGAGAAGGGATGGCAGGCAGACAAGAGTAGGGCAAGTGGCTGCAGGAGAGACACCACCCAAGAACTAGAGGCCAGCAATCAGGTGGGACGGCCAGGTCAGCTTCTGGGATAAAGTCCAGGAGATGTGGTATTCCTGAAGCCCAAAGAGGAGTCTTTCCAGGAGGAAGAAGTGGATGTCTCTGCCCAAATGCACCTGAGCAGTCAAGGAGGGTGAGAACAGGTGTGTCCCTCGATCCTCGGTTAACGTGGGCGTGGGGTGCCCAGAACTTTCAGGCATCTCTGTGAATCTTCATAACAGCCCTGTGTTTTTGCCCATGTGTTGAAGAAATTTATATATATTATTTCTTTAATCCTTATAACATCTCATTTAAATAAGTGTCATCATGGAAGTTAAGTAAGTTGTCAGGGGTCACCCAGCTGGGATATGATGAAGCCAGAATGTGAACCAGTGTCTCCTAAGCCCAGAGCCTGAAGAGGTGTGAAAGCCAGCAGGGTGACTGACTCCTCTTTTTCCCTTTTCTAGGCTATGGCCTCCGCTGCCACCGGGCCATCATCACCATCTGCCGGCTCATTGGCATCAAAGACATGTATGCCAAGGTCTCGGGGTCCATGAACATGCTCAACCTTACCCGGGGCCTCTTCCATGGGCTCTCCCGCCAGGTAACCCGTCCTTGGGGTGTGAAACAAGCTCTAGTTTGTACTTCAGTTGTGTGTGTTGAGACCACGATGTCCTGGGCGCCTGCTGGAGCTGCTCTCCTGGGGCCCCCTGAGGACTCGGACATTCTTTGCCGTCTGTGGCTGCACTGGGTTAGTTAACCCAACTGAAGAGTTAGTCCATGAAAATTAGCCTTTAGAAAATACTTCATGGGTGTTTTAAAGTTTCAAAATTAAGTATTTTTAAAGGCCAGTAATTACAATCTGTGTTTATTGTGAAAAGAATGCATGCTTGTTCTAGAATTCCAACAACACAGACATGTAAAGTGAAAGGACAAGGTCTGTTTCCTAATTTAGTCCCTCCGGCTGGGCCTGGGGTGAGGCCCCTGGAGCACCTCCACATAGGAAAGCTGTTTTCATAGAAGCACAGTCAGTCCTCACGTTACCTGCGCAGGTCGTTCAGACGGACGCCTGAGTTAGTAGGAACCATGAACATTAATGTGCCAGGGTATTTCTCCACGTGGGTGGAGCCCTGGCCCTCTGCCCAGCTGGCCCCTCAGCCTGGGCTGGGCTCTCAGTCACTCCACTCCATAGCGGAGACGGAGGCCTGTGACTGCATGGGCTCCTCCTCCCGGGCTGCCCTCCTACCTGCTCAGCAGGGGCGGCCTGTCCCTTGAAGGGATGAGGGGACCTTAGCAGAGCTGGACAAGCAGAAAGACAATCAGGCTCAAGAGACTCCACTTGCTGACCTCCATTTGCTGAGGAATTTGACAGGCTTCCGACACTTAGTGCAAGGACTGCTTCTGAATAAAATGATCCAGAGACTAATTTTACATGTCTCTGTTTAAAACAGGAAAATTAATTAAAAGAAAAAGAAAGCTTTGCTTAAAGGTCTTGTTTTGAACAGCTTTGTGTGTGTCTGTTTTGCTACTATTGAAAACATCCTTCAAAAGCACTTCTAAATCAAAACTTATTGCTAGAGGTGTAATTGTTTGATGTAAGTAAGGTATTGGTTCTAGATAGGTCATATTTATGATCATGTAGACTTGTTCTTTTATGTGATATTTTTGATTTATTTTAGCACTTTGAATGTTCTCATGTAATTACCATGTATCATCTCTTCTAAAATGCCATCAGCTATAAAAAGTTGAATTATTTTAATGTGCCACTCAGAAAGAAAAAAATGCCACCAATATAAGCAACATACCATTGATTGTAAGACACACCAATTTAAATTATTTTATTTTGCTTTTACCAAACAGCTCATCTCTTTTCCAATTTCAAACATATGGAGAATTAGAGAGAAGAGTACAAGGTGGCCATAATGTCTGCAAACAGGAGATTGAACATCTCAGTATTTTAATGTTCTATCAATAACCATCTACTACATTTATTTGCCTGTTTCCAGACTTCACGGCTCCCTTCTCTAACGGCTCCCCATGGCCCTCTCACCCAGTGTCAACAGTTAGCAGCTTGTGGCCAATCTTGTTTCTCAATACCACCCCCACCCTGCCCCAGTTATTTTGAACCAAATCTCAGACATCATTTGATTTCATCCATGAATATATCAGTATGTATCTCTAAAAGACAAGAATTTAAAAATACCCCAAAATACTGTTATCATACCCCAAAAATTAATAGTAATCCAGTGTATCATCAAATATGTAATCATTGTTCATAGAAATGTATCCATTGTCAGATTAAAAAAACATTTTTTACCCAATTTGTTTGAATCAGAATTCAGAAAGGGTCAATACATCGTAGTTTTTTGCTATGCCTTTTAAGTCACTTTTAATTGGTAGGTTCTCCTCTTCTTCTTCTTTTTTTTTTTTTTTTTGGCGAGGAAGATTCACCCTGAGCTAATATCATGCCAGTCTTCCTCTTTTTTTTTTTTTGCTGAGGAAGATCAGCCCTGTGCTAACTTCTGCCAATCCTCCTCTTTCTTTGCTGAGGAAGACTGGCCCTGGGTTAACATCTGTGCCGTCTTCTTCCACTTTATATGGGATGCCGCCACAGCATGGCTTGCCAAGCGGTACATCAGTGCGTGCCCAGCTTCCGAACCGGCGAACCCCGGGCCGCTGCAGCGGAGCGCGCGCACCCAACCACTTGCACCACTGGGCTGGCCGCCCCCTCTTCTTTTCTTTCCTTATAGTTCTTTTGTTGAAGAAACCAGGTTGTTTGTGCTATAGTTTCCCAATCTGGTGCTGACTCAATTTCTGTTGGTCCTTAACATCTTCTCTCCCTGCGTGTCCTGTAAATTGGTAGCTAGAGCTGGCAGTTGGGGGCACAGCATGGCAGAGAATTGGGAGTGTTTGGAAGGCAAGAGAGCAGAGGCCAAGGCCCTTCCTCCATCCCAGCTTGGGGCGGGGAGATGGGGCTGAGATGATGACACCCATGACTTAGTTTAGCCATAGTTTAGCCAGAAAAATACATCGCCCAGAATTAACTGAAATGGTATTAAGTCCCCCAAGTGGTCCAGTGTTTTCAGTGCTGACTTCCCTCTGGCTGGTGGAAGTTCCTGCTCTTTATGTTCGAGATGTAACTCAGAGACCTCACCTGGTGTTCTCAACTTGGTCTTGCCCAGGAAACCCATCAACAGCTGGCTGATAAGAAGAGTCTCCATGTTGTGGAATTCCGGGAGGAATGTGGCCCTCTGCCCATCGTGGTCGCCTCCCCCCTGGGCCCCTTGAGAAAGGATCCGGAGCCAGAAGACGATGTTCCAGACATCAAATTGGACTGGGAAGATGTGAAGGCCGCACAGGGGATGAAGCGCTCTGTGTGGTCGGGTGTAAAGAGAGCTGCCACCTGAGCGTCCCTCTGGCCTCGTGCGGTGCAGGGTCTGGTGCCGTCCAGCACCTGGAGGACGCGCAGCGCCACACCTTGGATCTCACCTTTGTTTTTAAAGGAAAGACCAACCTCAGCTTCTTCATTTGCAAGTAATAAATAGTTATAGCTTTAATTTAGTGAGCATGTGGTATATTCTGGTCACTCTGATAGGAACTTTACATACACACCTTAGTTCAAGGTGACTTTAAATATTCATTTAAACCAACAACAATAAATGAATTAGGGAGACAGGGCTTACAGTCTGACCTAATGAAAAATAACATGCCGTCAAGTTATAGCTACTTGACTCTAGTCACACAGCTAGAAAGTACAGGAAAACAGGCAAAACTTGTTCTTTTTGACTCTAGAAATTCTTTTTGTTAAACCTCTTTGCATGGATGTTTTAGTGGTTGCTCTAGGTGTCACATACACACGCGTCACTTACCACCAGTCTACTGGTGTTGGCTTTTCCCAGTTCAAGGGAAGTGTCAAAATCTTTCCTCCCTTTACCCTCCCCGTCCCATAATTGTTTTAACGTTTCCTTTGCCTACCTTGACAACCACATTAGACAAAGTTACACGTTGTGCTTCAACCATCAAACATAATGTGGAAAACTCTAGAAGAAAGACCTGTTGTGTTTATCCATATTTTTGCCCTTCCAGTTGTTCTTTCTTCTTTCCTGATATTCCAAGGGTCCTTCTTCAGTCATTTTGAGTCAGGAAAACCCAGCTCTCCTCTTGTGTTTCTCCTCTACTGTCACACCACCACCACACCCACAACACTTCTGACACCTGATGTTGGGGGGCGTTTCCCCAGAACAAGCAATTCTCTGCAACACCAGCTGGTGTCCTACAATTTAACTCAATTCTGACGCCGTCCACCTGGAGATAGCGTCAGATCCCACAGGTTAGGGGTTCAGTCCCACAAGACTGCCTGACCCCACTTAAGATGCCAATTGCAAGTGGGATTGTCACCTGTGCTTCTGACTAATTGGCTAGAAATCAGAAGTTCTTATGAATCCCTCGTTGGTTTAGATTAATTTGCTAGAAAAATAGTTTTAATTTGCTAGGAAAACTGTTTACCAGTTTATTATAAAAGGACATGATAAAGGATACAGACGAACATCCAGATGGGAGATGCATAGGGCAGGGTATGTGAGATTACCTAGCCATCCTCACGGCCCTTCTCCAAGTGTGAGCAAGCTATGTATTTCGGGTGACCTGGTAAGTGTCTGATTCACAGGCTCCATTGGATGGCCGCTGAAAGTCCCGTGTGGCTCCCTGCTGAGATCAGACTTTGTTCCTGTGAATCCCAAGGGCACAGGAAGCCCCGACGATGCCGCCATCTTGAGAGCACACAGGACATGGGAGGCGTGTGTGTGAGGTGAAAGACTGTATTCTCCTGAACTCTCTCAAATCCCCCTGTTCTTACAGCATTTTCCCCAAGCCCCGTTCACCCCAGCTGGGAATTCTATGCAGAGTTTCTGAGGAATAGTCACTCCTACCTTCTCAAGGAAGCTTCAGGGGGCCTGTGTTCTTGCTCCTGTCAGTCGTTCCATTTTGCTAAACCCTGCAGGACAGATGCTTAGAACGCTGCTCCTGTTTCCGTCCTCACAAGTTCTGCCCTGGTTCTCAGAAGCCTCCATCCCCAAACCCTGTGAAATTCTTTCCTGCTCTGGCGCTTTGGAGACGTTCCTTTGGCAGCTGTCTTCCCTGCTGCCCGGGGTAATAACAAGGAGTTCCTTCAGGTTGTGTTTATTTCAATGGAGGGAAAGGAGGGGCCTGGCGGCACCCGGTGGTGGGAGCGGTTCCTTGCTCTGCTGGGGGCTGCCAACTTTTGGGGTAGGGGCTGCCAGTCTGAGGGCTGCCAGGACGGCTCTGGTAGGAGAGAGGCCCTACCCAACCCCGGGAGCAGAGGGTGAGGGCTGTTGTGGCCTGGTGACAGCCTGTGGGCTTGGGGTAAACAGGGATAAGGCCCCCAGGGTGGTGGGTGAGGCCGGCTGGAGGCTGGAGGGGAAGCCTTGCTCCCTGGGAGAAGGCTGGGAGCCAGAAGGGCAGTACCACCCAAGTCCCCGTGGGGCCTCTGGAAAGGGCAGGACAGCATCCAGGCAGGAAGAGACTGCAGGTAGCAGGAGAGCTGGTCACCAATGGGACATAAGGAAGGATGCAGCTGTGGGGTCTCCTCTGAAGACGGCTGTGGTCTCAGCATTAGCAAAGGGCCTGAGTGAGGTTAAACTCCCCTTTCAAAGGACAGATGCATCGAAGGGTTTCCTGAGAGCCACAGAGAACCTGGCTCATGGGTCTCTGTTTGCCTCAAGGAATGCCCTTGGCCATGCTGATGGGATGAGCCCCCTGGCATCTGTCCCAGAGACTTCTCCCAGGCCCTGCCTCAGGAGGCAGAGAGAACACGTGCTGAGCCTCTCTCCCTGGCCCTGAGGGTGACATGCTGTTAGAGTGTTTGCTAACATGAGTCTTTGTGAGTTGAGTCCTCATGGGCCTGGGGTCCGCACCACCTCTGCCTCAGCATCTGCATTTGTAAGATGAAAATCTGACCCTGAGCTTTAGTTATATCTACAGTGTTCTTACAGAGAGAGTCATAGTTTATGTTTACTAGACATGAATTGAACTGATCTCCAGGGATAAGAGGAGACAAAAATAATATAGCCCTGCTGTGTGGGCACCCCGTGGACCCCCAGGAGGCGGGGGCAGCTTTCTTTCCAAGGAATCACCACTGCCAAGGGTGAACCGTAAGCTCAGGGCTTATAGCTGTTTGCTCAGGCAGGTAGCTCCAGGCGGGTCCCATGGATGTGTCGGTCTCCAGAGGGGGCTTGACACAGTGTTGTGCCCCGTGAGTATCGAGTTCTGTCCCCCATGAGCCTGAAGTTAGTGATCACTTGGTCCATCCCCTTGTTTTATAGATGGGGAAACTGAGGCTCAAGGAAGGGAGAGTAGCCCCAGGCCACACAGCTGTCTTTATTATTCATTCATTGAATACATGGCAGGGGTTGGAACCAATTTCCCATTTGAAGAAAAAAAAAGTTTTTTTCTTTCTGTTCTTTAATCTGTAGGATTTCTCTTTGCAACACACATAACGTAAGAACCTTCCAAAAAAAACCTGAAGCTTTCCAATGTAACCCAATCAGTGTGTCCCACTTGGTGCTTGAACGTGAAGCTTATGGGTTTTTTTCTAAAGATGGTGTTTAACCACAGTCATCAGAGTTCTGTGCCGCTCACTCTGGCCGGGGTGGGTGCCCACTACCCGTGGGTGCCTGAGGTTTCAGCTCTCTCTTGCAACTCTTGTGACTAACCCAGAGAGAAGATGGTGGTGTTGCCAGAGGAAATAGCACGTGTGGCTTCCTGACCCACTTCCGCCTTCAGAGAGCGCCGTGTCGGGAGGGGGCGTCTGGATAGGCACAGATCCCTCCTTAAACCACCAGCAGCTCAGACTTTCCCGGGGATGGGGAGTGGCTGGTAAAACAGAACAAAGGCTCATTCCTGCAGGGAATGTCAGCCATCACCGCGCTCTTTGTAAAACACTGTTCAAGTCACAGGACATACGTACACCCCACACAGCATTCTGGTAAGAATGAGGGCCTCACCATCAAAGCAATGAGCAAGTCTCTGAGGGTCTGGAGTCACCTACTTAGCACCGAGTAAAAGGCAGGAGTGTCCTTGCCTGGCTTGGGTTACAGCATAAAGACGTCTAATTGCTCCCAGGAGTCTCAGATGGAGGCACCTTCCTCCCTCGGCCCAGTTCACACTTGCTGGCAAGTGCTGCCTTTTTCCGAAAGGATGAGCCTCTTAGCAGCAGCGGCACTGGACTGTGAGAGAAGCTGGCTCCGCCTGACACGCCACAGGTCCAGGACGCCTGACTCAGAAGGCTCCACTCCCTGGTCTGCCCTTTGTCCCCTGCAGCCCACCAGCCACCGCTCTCTCCTCTGCGTCCCTGGCTCGCATGCTGCCCTCCCTCCTCCAGCAGAGATACAGGCCCTGGGCTGCACTGGGGGGTGGTATGGGTTGTATATGCAACACTGGGGTCACGTAGAGCTCATCCCTCATTTTTAGAGAGCTGAGACTGGGGGCTGGTGGTGGACAGAGTGGTTAAGCAACTTGACTGATGTCACACAGCAAGTTGATGGACTTTCAAGCTATATTTCCGGGATCCCATGTGCTTCCTGCAGCCGCCCCAGGACACTGACTACACTTTGGTCTTGTGATAAAGGTCACCTTGAATGCAGTGACACGCAGCTGAAAGAAGTTCTAAAAGCCCTCTTGAGAGGAAGAGAAGCAAATGTGATTCTTTCAAGACAGTCTTTGTAGCACAAATCTGGAAGCTTCACTTGACCACTTGACTCATGTTACCAGTAGGTGCTTATAGCCCCTGGGGATTCTGCATCTAGCATTTCAGATGGGAGTGATTTTCCAGTGTGGTCGGCCAGCATTTCCAACTGCAGATATTTCTCTGAGAGGAGAGCTGGGTTTCTGCTGGAATCATCAGCTTCTGCCTCATTCAACAACAGGGGCCCCCGGGGAGCGCTCACTGCCCCCTGGCGGTTGTGACTATAACTTTTTAACAGTGTTAGTGAGGTTTAAAGAACAAGCTGCACGTATTTAAAGCGCACACTTGGTGAGATTTGACACGTGTACATTGTGAGACCATCACCACAACCAAGATCTATAACAAAGGATCTATTACCCCAAAAGTTCCCTTGTGCCTCTTTGTCACCCTCCTCCTGCCCCTCCCCCCTCTCCTATCCCCAGGCAACCGCTGATTTATTTTCTGTTACTATAGATTAGTTTTCACTTTCTAGAATTTTATATAAATGGAATCATATAGTATGTGCTCATTTTGACTGGCTTCTTTTACTCAACAATTATTTTGAGATACATCCATGTTGTGTGTGTATCAATAGTTCATTCTCTTTATTGCTGAGTAGTAATCTTTATCTGTATAGAACACAATTTGTGTGTACATTCACCTGTGGAGTTACATTTGCATTATTTCCAGTTTTTGTCTATTACACACAAAGCTGCTGTGGACATCTCTATACAAGACTTGGTAAAGGCAGGGGCCTTTGTTTCTCTTGGATACATACCTAGGAAGGGGATGGCCAGGTTATATGGGTAAGTGT